ATCTTCTCCTTCTCTTCCTTTGTTAAATTTGTTAGTGGTCTGTTGAGTTTTTTTATCTTTTCAAAGAACCAAGTTCTAGTCTTTTTGATTCTTTCTATTCTTCTGTTTCCTTTATTTCTGTTCAAATCCTCATTATTTCTTCTGGTCATTCAGGCTCTCTTTCTTTTTTCCTGCTTTTTCTAATTGTTGTAGATATTGGGTTAAGATTGATTTTGGCTCCTTCTTTTTTGATGTGTGCATTTATTGTTATAAATTGCCTTCTGAACACTGCTTTTGCTGTGTCCCAAACATTTTGGCATACTGAATTTTCATTCTCATTTGATTCAAGGAGCTTTTATTATTATTTAAATTTCTTCTATTATCCAGTAATTTTTAAGGAGGGTGCTCTTTAGTTATATGTTTGCTTTGTTTTCCTTGATTTTCCTATTGTTGATTTCTAATTTCATAGCATTGTGATCTGAGAAGATACTTCGCAGTATTTTCATGTTTTTAAATTTACTGAGGTTTGCTTTCTGGCCTAACATATGGTCTGTTTTGGAGAATGTTCCATGTACACTGGTAAAGAAAGTGTGTTGTGCTGTTGCTGAGTGAAGTGTACTATGTATCTATAAGGTCAAGTTGGTTGATTGTGTTGTTTAGTTCTGTTGTGTCTTTGTTGACTTTCCTAGTTTTATCCTTTATTGAAAGTGATGCATTAAAGTCTCCTATTATTGTGGGGAGTAGTCTATTTCTCTCTTGAATTCTGTTGAAGTTTATGTATTTTGAGGCTCTTTCATTGTGTGCATAAATATTTGTTATGGTATGTCCTCTTGTTCGATTGATCCTTTAATCATGATATAATGTCCTTTCTTGTCTCTTATGGTGGTTTTTGTCTGGTCTATTTTATCAGAAATTGTTGCCACTCCACTCTTTTTTGATTGCCATTTACTTGATAGGTTTTTATCCAAATTTTGATTTTTAGTCTATTTTTGTCTTTGTCTAAGGTGTATCTATTTAGGGAGCTCTGGTGGTGTAGTGCCTAAGGCATTTGACTGCTAACCAGAAGGCTGGCAGTTCAAACCCACCAGCCACTCCTCAGAAGGAAGATGGGGCAATCTACTTCCATAGTGGTTGTTGTTGTTGTTGTTATTTGCCATCGAGTACTGCCTTGGAAACCCAAGGAGGGGTCGCTATGAGTCGGGTCTGACTCCACGGCACATAACAACAACCTTATAGACAGCATATTGATAAGTCATGTTTTCTTATCCATTCTGCAACTCTCTGTGTCTTAATTGGTGCATTTAACCCATTTACATTCAATGTAATTATTGACAAGTATGGATTCTTTCCTGTTATTTCATTATGTGTGTGTGTGTGTGTTTCCCCCCCTTGTGGCATTGCTGATTTCTTCTGCTAAGCTCATTTTGTTTGATTTTTTAAAAAATCATTTCTTTTGTTGCTATTGTTTTAGTATCTGCTGTTTTGTGCCGTTCCTCTTTTTTATTCTGATGAGAAGGATATTAATTTTCTTGGAGGTTACTCTGTAATTTATTTTGTTCCCAAGTGTAAAACAACCCGTTCTATCTCAAAATCTTGTTGACTTCTTCTCCATTTGGAAGTTCTGTAACTACAATATTTATTCCCTCTTTTTGCTTTGTAGTTGTCATCATTTACAAATGTATTTCTCTGCTTCCCTGTTTACAGTCTTATAAATTTATTTTTCTTCGGATACTTCTATGTCTGGGTTGGTTTGTGGATTATGTTGTCACATGTGTTAATCATTGGTTGTCTGCTGTTTTTGGTTCTCTGCCTGAAGGAATGCCTTTAATATCTCTTGTAAGATTGGGCTGGTTTTAACAAATTCCCTTAATTTCTGTTTAACTGGAAGTGTCCTAATTTCACTATCATAGTTGAGGGATAATTTTGCTGGATATATAATTCTTGGCTTTTTTCCCTCCAGGATTTTATATATGTTCTCCCATTGTCTTCTTGCCTGTATGGTTTCTGCAGAGAAATCAGAGCTTAGTCTTATTGGTTGCCCTTTGTTAGGTTAACTTTTTGTTTTTCTTGAGATGCTTTCAGGATTCTTTGTCTTTGGTTTTGAAAAGTTTGATTATTATATGTCTTGGTGATTTTATTTTGGGATCTCTCCTGTTTGAGGTTCACTGAACTTCTTGAATGCACCTTTCATAATATTAGGGAAGTTCTCTTCCAACAGATCTTTGACACTTTTCTCCTGGTTTTATTTTTTTCTTCCTGGTCTGGAATTCTAATTATACATGAGTTAGTCCTCTTGGTATGATGTCCTACATAAATCTTAGGATTTCTTCATTAAAAAAAAAATCATTTTTTTTCCTTTGATTATTCCCTTAACAAAGTAGCATTGAGCTATTTGTCATCAGTCTCACTATTTGTCTTTCATTGATTCAATTTTACTCCTTTGTCCTTTCAATGTGTTACCTATTTCCAAAATCTTAGTATTAATCTCCTGTATTTCTATTTGCTGTTTTTCATATATTTTCTAATTTTCCCTTCATTCTATTAGCTTATATTTTTTTCCTAAATTCTTCTAGAGTTTTGTCTGTGCTTTCCTTAATTTTCAGTATTTTCATTGATATTTGTCAGTGTTTTCTGTGATCTGTCTTTCAATCCATTGTGAAGGTACCTAAATATAATTCCTTTGAATTCCTTATCAGGTAGTTCCAGTGCTACTTCTTCAGGGAGACTTTCTGGCTGTATATTTTGGCCCCTTGTTTATACTACTTTATCTTGCTTCTTTGTGTGAACTGGGATCTTCAGTTGTCTCTAAGACATTGTGATATTATTGAATTTACATTTAATTGATGAATTGTATGTTGGTATGCGTAGTGATACTGCCTCGGAAACCCAAGGAGGGGTCGCTATGAGTCTCGTCTAACTCGACGGCACATAACAACAACAACAACAACATGATTCACCCAGGGTTTTCTTTCTTTTTTCTTTATCTTGCTTTGATATAGCTGAGCAAGTGTGGCTTTTGTGCTGCTCTGTTGGCTTGTATGGCATCGCTTAGACACTCACTACCTGTCTGCTGTGATAGAGTATGTGTGCACAGATCTCTGTTAGATGTCCATATAGAGCAGTTGAGGGTTGGTTTGGTTGGCATTGGCTGCCATCTATTTCTGGTCAGTTAGTGCAGAACTAGGTGGTGGTCCTTGCCCAGTGGGTGGGTCTGTGGGAGGTGCACATGTGGTTGCGTTGTGTGGGTTACTGTCTCCCAACAGGTGGGACAAAAAACCACCACCACCAAAAAAAAAAGATAAAAACAAGGGAACAAAAAACACAAGCAACATAAATAATTGCAAAAAGAATAAAAGAGAAGGACAAAGGCAGGGAAAACAAAATGAGGGTGGGGAGAAAGAAGAAAGAATATGAGGATGGTGAGAAAGAAAAGAGCAAGAAAATAATAGTAAAGAAAAATGCTAAAAGAAAAACATGGATGGAAAATGAAAAGAAAGAAGGGAACACAAGGAAAAGAAAAAACTAGGAAAGGGAAAGAAAAGAAGAAAGGTGGGGAATGAAAACGAATAGTTGGGGGAAAAAAATACAAAAAACCTGAGGGATCAGGGAACTTGGACGTTGTTCCTGCTGGCCAAGCAGGTGGCAGGAAATTAGGGTACCTGTTTCTAGTGTTCCTGCTAGTCCAAAAGGCAGCTGGGGGCAGGGCACTGGTCCCAGAAAGAATTCCTGCTGTCCCAAAATGTGCTGGGTTAGGGTGTCTAGTCCCAGGAAAAGTTCCTGTTGTTACAAAATGTGGCTGGGTGTAGAGCACCTGGTCACAGAAAAAGTTCCTGCCAGCCCAAAAGGTGGCTGGGAGCAGAGTGCTTGGTCCTGGAACTAGTTACTGCCTGCCTAGAAGGCAACTGGGGCGAGGGTGCCTGATCCTATGTGAGTTCTTGCTGGGCCAGAAGATGACTGGGGTCACTGAGCCTGGACCCAATAAAAGGTCCTGCTGGCCCAAACGGTGGTTGGGAGCAAGGCACCTAGTTCCAAAAGGGAGTTTGTTGTCCCAAGAGGTAGCTGGGTACAGCACGGGGCCCTCTTTTCCAGAAAAAAGTTTCTGCCAGCCCAAAAGGTGGCTGGGAGCAGAGTAGCTGGTCCTGAAACTAGCTCCTGCTGGCCCAGAAGGCAATTAGGGGCAGTGTACCTGCTGGCCCAGAAGGTGTCTGGGGCAGGGTGCCTAGACCCAGAAAATGTTCCTGCTAGTCCAAAAGGCAGCTGATCGCAAGGGGCCTGGTTCCAGAGGGAGTTCCTGCTATCCCAAAAAGCAGCTGTAGGCAGGGCCCCTGTTCCCAGAAAAACTTCCTGCTATCCCAAAAGGCAGCTGGGTGTAGAATTCTTGGTCCCAGCAAAGGTTCCTACTGGCCCAAAAGGTGGCTGGAAGCAGTGTTCCTAGTCTTGGAACCATAAGGCAGCTGATGACAGAGTGTCTGGTCCAGGATGGAATTCCTGCTGGTCCAGAAGGGATCACCACAACTTTGTTCATTGGTGCAAGAAGAAAAAGGAGAACGTCGTACCTTTCTGGTCACCAGCCACCAGTGTGGTTGCCCGTGCAGTCCTTGGCAAGAGGAGCTGATTATCAGGTTGCTGCCCCGATTAGAACACCACTTGCAAATATTCAAAATGGCTGTACCATAGGCCAGTCAACAGTCCACAGCTCCATTTGTCTACTTATTTGCTGTTTTCATTCAGTTTGTTCTACTAGTTGGTGGTTTAATCCACTTCTTTATCCTTCTCTTTGAAGCTCAGGGTTCCAGGATTATCCTCTTAATCTGTTTCAATTAGTTTCTCATTTCCTTTGTTGTAGAGGATCTGTGGAGCTTGTCTACCTATTCCATCATCTCTCCAGAAGTCTTGTATATGCCTGTTTAGATTCACCACCCTGATAAAAGCAAGGAGTCCTCATGATCCCTTCTGTGGTTTGGGAGGATGTCTGTAAACATTAGGTTCTCTTTGTGTCATTGTGCCTTTTTGTTTTCCAGATAAAAAACCTCAATCATGGTTTTGCCAAACTGAAGGCACTTGTGCCCTTTCTTCCACAAAGCAGAAAACCTAGCAAAGTTGATATCCTTAAAGGTGCAACTGAATACATACAAGTTCTCAGTTATGTTTTGGAAGGAACCAAAGACTCTGAGGTAAAGGTTTAAGAATTTCAAATGATAGGCACAATTAATCAAACCTTTCGTTGTAGCAGACATTTGACAAGAAATTTATATGTACTTTCCAATTAATGTTTACAGTGATCTTCTGAGGTATTTATGATCCCCAATTTATACAGAATGAAACCAAAATAGAGGTAAAGGACTCACATAGCTGGGATGCCAAGACTGGCATTTGAATCCAGGTCCTCATGAACTTTGGAGTCAAGTTCCTAACCATCTATATACTTCTGAGTAAACAAGTTCAGTGACACTTGGGTTATAATTGCTGAATAGGACCCTGATAACTGGGGCATGAGTGAAGGCTTCCATAAAACCATTCTGTTGTGGTTATTTCCCTTCAATAGGACACACGTGAGACAGGACACAGAAAACAAGAGGCATTTCTTTCTCTAAAGGACCCTCTCTGGAAGACCACTTCTGCTGGAGAGCTTAGAGTCCTGATAATACCAATCTCACAGGGTTTTGTGACCATTCAAAGGAATGGTATAAATGAACCTGCTTTGCAAATTGAAGTTCCACCTCCTGGGAAACTAAAGGTGTGGGGAAGTAGTGTGAGAAGTGGCAGGGAGGCTGAGGGAAGACCAGGACAGGGAGGCAGCTAGATCTAACATTTGAAAGCTGGAAGTTAACCAGTAGAGGGTTTAGGGAGGATCACCACCATTATCAGGGTGGGATTATCCAAAAGTGTCTATCAGGCAGTGGAAGGTGTGGGCTGGTGTTTTATGGACTTGTTCCACAGAGAGGTAAGCATTGAATGTACGAATATGCATCAGTTACCAGGGGAGATAAGAGAGACAAGAGTAGGGGCCTTAGGAATGAGTTTTTGGGGATACCTATTGCCAGGAGGAAGGAGGAGCCATCAGAGAGTGACAAGAAGGTTAGAGGAAGGAGATGGGTTATGATGTCAAGGAGGAGAGTCCTGGGAAACTAAACGTGTGGGAAGTCGTGAGAAGCTACAGGGAGGCTGAGGGAAGGACCAGGACAGGGAGAGGCAGCTAGATCTAGCACTTGAAAGCTGGAGGTTAATGAGTAGGGGGCTTAGGGAACATTACTGATAAATATTTGGAATCAAAGCATTGGGAATCAGCAAACTTCAAGTCCATTCAATTTAGAAGTCCAAGAAAAGAAAGAGGGATTAAAGAATGGAAGGAAAGCTGTTGGATCGAGTTGGAGGTCTTTTGTAAGTGGTGATCTGATTGTGTTGAAGGGACAAAAGAGAAGGAAAGATGCTAGAGGTAAGAGGAACAGAATCATTCTAGGAACTTAGGGCAAATGTAGCCAGGTATATAGTGGTGCTGTTGGATTTTTTCGCCCCTACTCCTCGTCTAATAGTCCTAGTCAGGAGACTGCTGGGAGGATATGTCCTGCACAGGTACATAGATTATCCTATTGGCCAAATTATACAATTGAGTTGTGGCATGGTCATGGTGTTTGGACATGTGCAGGTGGCTGCTTTAGTTTTTCCTTGCATGTTAATTGTGTAACAGAAGTGGTGTTTTCTGCTCTGCATTTTATTATAAAATACAGGAACAATTCCATGCCACAATCCTTTTAATGCAGTTGACCATTGCAGAATATTTTAAGGTTAAGGTCTATTGAGCAGTACTCTTCCATAATAACTTAAAATGTTGCCCTTATCACATAAATGAAACTTTGTCAATTAAAATTTTGAAATATATTGATTTAAATCTTCATAGTCTATCATATACTTCCTGACAAATAAAATATGGTTTCTAGAAACAAGATCCAGATGATCATAACTACAGCAACGATACTTCTGAACCACATATGCCCTTGGTTAGAGAGCTATCAAGAAACATTGCTCAACATAGCAACTGTACCATAGGCTTGAAGAAAGAGGAAGAAGGGCTCTGGGCAGATGGTGGCAGTGGTGAGTTGGCATACACTTGTCACCAGAGCTTGATGTCTACAACTGGAGTTGTTATCTCCCCCACTGGGAGTCCGGTAAAGTATTCTTTCTTAAATATCCATGAAAATGTTTTTTGTTTGTCTTTTTTTTTTTTTTTAAAGAAAAAAAAGTGCAAAATAGATTTAAACAAGATAATTTTGTGATAGCACCTGAGTGGGGAGGTGGGACTTGCTCATCTGGAAATCTGTTATTTCTATTATTATGTTCCCAAATTAGTTGTCAAGATGTTTAAGTAGAGGGAAAACTCCCCTAAAATCACCCAATAGAGACTTGAGTTCGTATTTTAATGTAATTAACACTAAAAAAATTTCTTGGACATTGTGGTGATAAGTGTGGAGGGGAAATAGCTTGCCATACATAAAGATACACGATAGTAGTGGTGGTGGTTGAGACTGTTGGCAGGCAGTATTATTACTTATTTTCTAAATAATAACCAAGGAGTTTATTGTAGCAGTTCTGATTACTTTGCAGCTGGAAGAGCAACATGCTTCTCTAAGTCTAGAACTTTGGACTTTTTGCCCTCACTGTGGCTCAGGATTATACAAAGAAGGACCTAGCTCCATACTACCTTGTAACACAATTGCTATTTGAAACAAGAAAGCCTCATAGGCATGTGAATCAAGTGTATTTTAATAAGCAATTTATGTAAAGTTTGGGGGAGAAGGTCCTGTGGAGTCATAAATGATGGTTGGTGGGAGGAGATTTAGAACAGTAGTTTGAGTGTAAGCTTTTGGGGCAGACTAGATCAAAAAACCAAACCCATTGCCATCGAGTTGATTTCACTGCATGGTGACCCTATAGGACAGAGTAGATAGAACTGTCCAATAGCGTTTCCAAGGCTGTAATCTTTACAGCAGCAGAGTGCCATATCTTTACCTCTAGGAATGGCTGGTGGGTTCAAACCACCAACCTTTTGGTTAGCAGCTGAATGCTTCAACCACTGTGCCACCAGACTTCCTTAGGAACAGATTGCTGAGGTTCAAACCCCAGTTTTACCACTTGCTGGCTGTGTGACCTTAGGTGTGCTACTTAATCTCTCCAATCCTTAGTTTCTCCATCTGTAAAATGAGAATGATAACTGTACATACCTTACACATAATATACCTGTGAGTTTTGAATGATACCATGTTAGCAAATTGTCTAGCACAGTTCTTGGCATGCCAGCGTTCCCTTGAACATACAAATCCACTCTCATCAAGTTGATTCCAATTTATAGTGACCAGTTAGGGCAGAGTAGACCTGCCCCATAGGTTTTCCATGGCTGTATATCTTTACAGAAGCAGACTGCCTCACCTTTCTCCTGCCAACCTTTTTGTTAGCAGTCTAATGCTTTAACTACTGAGCCACCAGAGCTCCTCTTGAACATATAGGTATTATTAAATTTGCTTGACTCGTCATGAGCCATCAGTATTGATTAGGGAGCAATCAATCATAAGCCACAGACATTTCAGCTCTGCTTGTAGCAGTTACTTTGGATTTTCTCACTTGGCTCCCACCAGTGCTTCACTCTGGTTTGAGATCTTCAGGCCTCCGGCTGGCTGGCTGGCTGGCTGCCTGGCTGGCTGGCCGGCCTTAGCTCCCATTTCTGATTTGATGACTATTTTCTAAGGATCCCATTATTCTCAATCTATATTTTCACGTTCTGGCTACTTGGAACATAAGCCAGTCAGCCCTTAGGAGACAGAATTCCTGTTGCTAGTACATGAGCTGACATGATCCATGTCACCCTGAGCATACAGAAAGAGTGAAGACATGAACTGAGATGAACCATGAAGCTGGCTGTGTAAGTTAATATTAACAATAATGCTTCTACAAATGTTTTCATTATGTAAGGTAAGCATCTAGTCCTCATTAATCTTTGTCAGGCAGGTATCACCATGATGTTCTTATGAGCTACCAGGCTATACCTTCTTGCCAGGTCCTGTAGGGCCTGGTTGGGTGAGGACAGCAGCACAGCAAGCCTACTACATCTACATCCAGGATGTACTAGGGGTACTTGTTTCCAAGGATAATTGATTCTTGGAATAGGCCATTTGTAGTAAATCAATTTAAATGGGGACTAACACTTTTTAGGAGCTCTGGTAGCATAGTGCCTAAGGCATTTGACTGCTAACCCAAAAGGCTAGTGGTTCAAACCCACCAGCTACTCCTCAGAAGGAAGGCTGAGCAATCTATTTCTGTAGTGATACTGCCTCAGAAACCCAAGGAGGGGATGCTATGAGTCGGGTTTGACTCAATGGCAGTGAGTTTGGTTTAACACTTTTTAGTAAACAAAGATTTTGATGGAATTTTCTTTAAAAAGGAGTGAGACACACTTAATTTTTAATTTTTTATCTAACCAAGCTTAAGTTATTAATTGGTAAAGTATGTCAATTCTTAGAACAAACAAAGACTAAATCAAGTACTTGAGTGTTTTTTTTAAAGTGTGTAATTCTATCAAGCATCTTTGACTGACTTCATGCTTGACTTCCAAGCCTGACTGTGAGTGTGTCATTTTTGCAGAAGCATTTAAGGGTTTCTATCAGTTTTTTTCCCCTCCCAAGGGTTTTCTCATGACATTTAAATAAGTCATTTTTAAAATGAAAAATTTATTCTGAAACAATAATAATCTTTTAAAAAGTTGCAAGTATAGTACAAAGAACTTTTTTTTCCTGAACCATTTGACAGTGAGTTCTGTCAACCTGAGACACCCTGTTGTTAGGTGCTATAGAGTTGGCTCTGACTCATAGCAACCCTGCATACAACAGAATGAAACACTGCCTGGTCCTGGACCATCCTTACAATCTTTGGTATGCTTGAGCCCATTGTTGCAGCCACTGTGTCCATCCTATAACCACTAATTAATTTTGTATTTCCAATAAACAGGGGCATTCTCCTACATAATCACAATTGTTGTTGGGTATCATTGAGTTGACCCATAGCAACCCTCTGTATGATAGAAGGAAACATTGTCCAATCCTGTACCATCCTCAGTCGCTGCCGTGCTTGAGCTGATTGTTGCAGCCACTGTGTCCGTCCATCTCATTGAGGGTTTTTCTCTTTGTCTCTGACCCTCTACTTTACCCGGAATGATTTCCTTCTCCAGGGACTGGTCCCTTCTGACAACATGACCAAAGAACAAGAGACAAAGCCTGGCCATTATCGCTTCTAAGGAGCATCCTGACTGTACTTCCTCCAAGACAGATTTATTAGTTCTTCTGGCAGTCTTTGGTACATTCAATATTCTTCACCAATATTATAATTCAAATGTATCAATTTTTCTTCCTTATTCATTGTCCAACTCTCACATGCATATGAGGCTGTTGAAAATACCATGGCTTGGGTCAGGCACACCTTAGTTTTCAAATGACATCTTAACTCTTCAACACTTCAAAGAGGTCTTTTGCAGCAGATTTGCCCATTGCAACATGTCCATGTGATTACTTGACTGCTGGTGCCATGGATGTTGATTGTAGATCCAAGTAAAATGAAATCCTTGACAACTGCAGTCTTTTCTCCATTTATCATTTATCATAATCACAATGTAACCATCAAAATCAGGAAATTAACATCATTGCTTTACTGCCATCAATTTTTCAGGCCCTGTTCAAATTCCACCCATTGTCTCCATAGTGTCCTTTGTAGCAAAAGGATTCTAATTGAGAATTATGAGTTGCATTTAATTATGTCTTCGTTGTCGTCTTCAGTCTGGAACAGTTTCTCAGTCTTTCCTTAACTTTTATGACCTTGACATTTTTAACAATGACAGTCAGTTATTCTGTAGAATGTTTCTTGGTTTGAGTTAATCTGTTTCCTTCCAATTAGATTCAGATATACATCTTTGGCAGGAATATCATAGAAATGATGTCATTTCTACTCATTGCATTTTATCAGGAGCTCTGGTAGCATAGTGCCTAAGGCACTTGACTGCTAACCAGAAGGCTGGCAGTTCAAACCACCAACCCTCCTCAGAAGGAAGATGGGGCAATCTACTTCTGTAGTGATACTGCCTCGGAAACCCAAGGAGGAGTCGCTATGAGTTGGGTCCGACTCGACGGCACATAACACAACAACGTACAATTTTGATTTGCCTCAATTACTAATTATATTCACTAGATCAAAGTGGTGACTTCCAGGTTTTTCTACTTTAAAGTTACTCTGTTTTTGTTTTGTTAACTAATATGTATTTTGTAAAGAGGTGCTTTGAAACTATTTAAATATCCCGTACTCATCCAACATTTTATTTAACTTTTTATTTTGAGATAATTGTAGATTTACAGGAAATTGCAAAGATAGTACAGAGAGGTCCCATGTGCCCTTCACCCAGTTTCTTTCAATGGTGGCATCTCCCATAGTTATGATATAAAAACTAGACAATTGATACTGGTACCATGCGTGTATATTGTTGTTTTTTGCCATCAAGCCGGACCCGACTCATAGTGACCCCTCCTTGGGTTTCCGAGGCAGTATCACTATGGCAGTAGATTGCCCAACCTTCCTTTCGAGGAGTGGCTGGTGGGTTTGAACTGCCACCTTCTGGTTAGCAGTCAAGGGCTTTACTATGCTACCAGAGCTCCTCATGTGTGTATAGTTCCATGCTATTTTTATCACACATGTAGATTCATGTAACCACCACAGTCAACGTACAGAATTATTCCGTCACCACAGAGATCCCCCTGGTGGTGGTGGTGTTGTGTGCCATTGAGTTGGCCCCGATTCATAGTGACCACACCTTGGGTTGCCAAGGCAGTATCACTACGGAAGTAGATTGCCCAACCTTCCTTCCGAGGAGTGGCTGGTGGGTTTGAACTGCCAGTCTTCTGGATAGCAGTCAAGTGCCTTAGGCACTAAGCTACCAGAGCTCCTCCCACTGGTGCTACCCCTTTATAATTACACCTAACCTCTTTCTTCCTCCTCCCCTAACCCTTAGCAACCTGTTCTTTATCTCTATAATTCTACCATTTCAAGAATGTGATGTAAATGGAATCATACAGTATGTGACCTTTTGAGATTGACTTTTTACTCAGCATAATGCCCTTGAGATCATCCAAGTTATTGTATGAATAGTTTTTTTTTTTTTTATTACTGA